AGTAATATGCTGTGATGTGAAATACTCCATTTAATGCTAAATAAAATCTTCTTTGCACAAAGCATTCATACCTGCAGAAGTCTGAGTTAGAGTTTTCCTTAAAAGGCTCCCCCTTCTTTGTTACTCTGGGAATAAAGTAGACAGTTCAACTTTTGGTACATTCTACTTGGGTAGTGAGCAGCAACAGTGAAAAAAAGGAATATTAGCATTTAGTTTGGTGAGAAAACTTAATAGTTGAGCATTTTGGTAGTCTGCAAATGTCTTTCAAATCAGGGAATGGAATCTTGGTTCTATGAATATCCACAGCAAAACTTCTGTACTTCCCTGCTGATGCAGGGAAGGATCTCACCAAGAGATTTTTGAGTCCCTGTTTGAGTCAGAGCACCTCAGCACTTCGTCAAAGCAGCCCCTCAGTTTGAATTTTTTAATATATTCTTCTTCAAGGCGAGCAGCTTGAAATTTGTTTGTGGTTCTTCGGAGTCATCATTAGCAGCAACTTCTTAAGCACAGGAGTGAGTATTTTCTAAGAATACTTTCAGGCTTTGGTTGTTGTACAGTGAGTGCCCAACAGGTTCCCTTTTAGAGACCCCCATGATTTTATTCACTTGTCTAACACAATTTTTTTCTTCTCCTGCACTTGGTGTTTGTATTTGAAAAGCATTAATTCCAACTAGAAGACCAGCATACATAAGTGACTTCAAAGCTGTTATGCATAGAACACGTTCCAAGTGACCACAATTTTTATTTTCACTTTACTGCTCATTTATACAAATTAGCAGGCGCACTCTGCCTATCGCCTGGTCTTCTGCCAGTTCAAATAAGAAAGAAAAAGAAAAGGAAAACTGGAAAGCAAAATTCAGCCACTGTCCTAGGATATAATTGTCTGTTTATGAAAGTTAATTTTTTTCCACTGAGTCCAGCATTGGATAATCTCGGCTCTTTACATTTTCAGTTTGAGGAAACTCTGGGAAATTTCTGCCTCTGGGGGAAGATCTTTATGTTTCAAACCATGAATTCTTAGAAAACCCTTGTGAGTGCTGGTACACGTGTAACACTAGCCCCTCTGGGAGCTCAAGTCAATTCCGTGACCCATGTCTATAGGAGCTCCATTTCTCACAGCATTTCTCAGGACAGATTTGAATACACTGGGCAGGCAGATGAAGTCAGAGATTTCTATGGGGAGCTCCAATCCCAGAGCCCAGGGGTTCTCTCAGTCACATTTTTGCTAGAGACAATTAATGTTTAATATGCGATCCAGAAATTTTCTTTCCTGTTCCCGCTGAAGTGCTGCACATACTACCAGTAGTGGGCATTTTAAGGAAATAAACTTTCAAAAGGGACCTCTGTTTCCTTCTGGAGCAAGCACTTCTTACACAGCTGAGCTGTCTTGAAAAAAAAATCAGCACAGCATCTGACCCACAGCCTTACTTCACACAACCGAATATTGAGATGAATTTTACTGAGCAGAACTACCTATATAACATCATCATTAAGCTTTCATATTTCCTAATATGCCAAATGTCTCATCAGAGTGCTCCCAATTGTATTAGTTTCCACAAACAGAAGGCCCGCCTGACGCTTTGAGTTTTACGACTACAGGTTTGCAGGATAAAATTGTCAGCTGCTGAAGAAGATTCCATAGACATTATCCACACAGAGACTCAGAGTTTGTCTATATACCTCCGAAGAAATGTTGAGGTGTAGCAACTGTTATTCTTTATACCACTAAACTTAGTAATACAGTCAACTCTAAGAGACTAGAATAAGCCAGTCTTATGCAAAATAACACTTGGGAAAAAAGAATGAGGTAGGGAACAAGGTGTATTTATTTTTTTTTTTACGTGTAAATCAGGAAGTCTCTGAAACTCACAGGCACTGAAGAAATAGCTTGAGACAATTGAAACACATCTCTTCAGTAAGCCCCACTCCATAGGAAAGCTTCATGCTCTCTGAAGGGGCTAGAACTTCTTGCCAAGAAGGTATTTGGACATTAATTTTTTAAATTAATGCTCCAGGATATTCACACAAAGACACAGATATCGACTACTGTGTAGAATATATTTTTAATTGGAAGAGGCCACGCCAGCTGAGCTATAAAACAAGTACAAGCTGTTAGATATAATAATAGAGAAAAAAGACTGGGGGAAAAAAGTGAGTCATGGAAAAAAAAGAGAGAAAAATCTATTTAGTTAAAAGAGACTTCCCAGGACTCCTGAGCTAAGGTAATGGTAGAAAAACATGAAACTTATCATGACCATCACGAATGCTGTTCAGGGATGCAGGGATCTTGATACCATGGAAATGGCACTTGTATTCAGGATTATCTTACATGATTCACATATAAATGAAGATGCTTCAGATTTTGGAGCAGTAACGGCACATCAAAAACTGCAAGTGTTGTTTACAGTGCATGTACTTGCACTGTATAGGGCATTGGGGTATAGAGATGCAAGACATTAAAGTAATTTAATTTTTCTCTTTCAATCAGAAATGAGTGATGTAAGCTTAGCTCCTGACACATAGATAGGTGCCACTGACTTCAGCGTCAACCAGATGTCACTGCTCTGATGCTGATTTGAGGCAAATATAGCCAATATGTTTTCTGTAAAATTAAATCCCTTTATTTGCTTCTGTAAATAATTTTCTGTAAAATAAGTATCAGGGGCACTAATTTTTCTATTTGTTTTTTGTTTTATTCCTTTTGCCTCTGAGAAGCATGACCACATGTTCTTAACTGGAAGCACAGTCCCGACAAGACTGTTGAGAAGCCCGAACGACGCACTTTGTTAGCGCAGACAAGCGAGAGCTTACGGGTGGCAGGGACCCTGGCACTGCAAGGCTGACGGGACCCACTGGGTACTTTGCTGCTGCTGCAATGCAGAGCACTAGTTCAGGATTCCTCAACCTCACACCAGAGAGTTTCTATATATGAGACGTAGGTGCCTGGAAGGTGGTATTAAGAATACTAAATACTTAGTCTGTTGAGCCTCTTCCTCAAAGATCCGTTTAGACATCCTCTAAGATGAAGGGTGGATTTAAGGCAGAGAAGTTAAACAGTGAGGCCCATCGGCATTCACAGCTGGCACCAGGATTGCTCCTCACAAAGCTGGAAGAGCACTTGCTTCTTTGCTCATCAGTGTACTTGCTTAACACCTGATGCCTGCTGTTAGAAGACATTTCCCTGGAGTTATCATGCACTGGCCAGAAATTAGATGCTGCCTGCTCAGCACACCTTTTGGCCAGAGCACCCCTGTAAGAGGAGTATTCTACAGATTTGAATCCTTCAGGGCAGGATTCCACTTCCTCGGTGACTCCTCAAAATAGAGTTGGGAACTATCAATTTAAAAGAGCATTTATCCCTGCTCCCTTCTTTGAAACTGAAGTTGTGAGCACCTGCCCTCGGGACCAGATTCAGCTTCCAAACAGGAGCACCCATGGAGAGCAGGGGTTCAGCCGCATCCCCTTCCCTGAGCAGAGTTGCCGAGGTTGATGTAAAATGAAGCCCTTGTCTTTGGTGACAGACACATTAGCTGCAGGAACACGTCTCTGCCTTTTCACATAGGGGTATGCTGCCAGTCGTGGCACATCAGAAGCTGTAAGCTCCCAGGAACAGCAGTCTGAGATGCCCTTCAAAATACCGAGCCAAGTTATTCCCGCTTTCCAGTCAGTGTCCAAGTGTCTCGACATTCCTGGTGTTTGTCTTTCACTGTCTGACATGACCAGCACTACAAATCTAGGTATTGCAGCAGCTAGCTGCCCGGACTCTTTACTGGAACTTTCTCTAAAAACTCAGATGTTCAGCAGTGGTCACATCTGGAGCAGCAAATGAAATTTTGGATATAGATTAATTTTATATGCCAGCAGTTATAATAATGTAAATTTTAGATGTAAGAGCATCTAAGCCTTTCAGATGGTAAGCCCTAACTCCTTTTAGTACTGAAGTCAGGGAGACTGTTTAGCATTTCCATGAAAGCCCAAACACTGTGAGGCCTGGGCAGTCAGACCTAAAATGAGTCAGGTAATACACTTTTCCTCAAACAACACTGTTTTCAAAACTGGTAGAGAAAATGTCAAATTTTATCAGTGATCTTTTAGAACTATTTTCTGCTTTTAGTGTTAAATACATCCATTTTGTCTTTGCATTTATAGGCCTGCTTTCCTTCTCATATATTTAGGCTCCAGATAATTATTCTAATTAAAAATATGTACCAGCTAACAAATGCAATAGAAGTATTTTCTCTATTGAAAACCATGGATAATTACCTCCAGTTTCCATTACTTAGATGCCTCATGACATGTTTTTATTTTGCTTCTCTGATATTTTTTTCTTCCTGATAATGCAAATCTCACATATTGATTGAATTCTATAGTATTTTACCTGAACTCATGCTATTAGCCATAAAATGCACTGTTTTATTGTACTGCTTTGGGAAAAAAAAACACCCAGCCAGACTCTTTCTCCATTACATACTCAGGCAGCAATACTTTAATAGCAGAAAAACAAACAAAAATTTTTGCCAATCATTCTCCTCTGTGGGTAACAGCTCCCCATTTCATTGTAAAACTTGTGAAGTATTATTCAGAAAACTACAGCAAAAATAATTAAAAATTAGATCACCATACAAAAACTTATTCATTGAAAGTAATACTTCAAACTCAGTCAGAAGACTGGGTATCAAATGAAAAGATTAAAAAGCAAAATTATAAAAAGTCAAAAGTGTCTCCCTTCTAAAAATACCAGCGTCTCAAGGTACAAAAGCACGTACGTCAGAGAAAATAAGGGAGAGGCTCATAAGCAATCAGTGATCTTACAGGTCAATTACCACTTGCAGAACTACACATTATAAATCAAATATCTCTTCAAATCAAGGTGTACTAATGTACAAACTATATACTGTGTATGTGCTACTTACTAGTAGGTAAACTTTCAAACCAATTAACTTAAACTTTGTTTCCTGGACTTTTCTTTCCCTCACCTCTTTATATGATATATGTTGTCCTTATGGCATAACTTCAGCACAGGCCTTCCTAAATCCACTAATGAATGAAGATATCCATCCAAATAGCTCCTGAGAGTCTAGGTCTTGAGGCTCCCCAAATTTTACCTATAAATTTGAAAGAGAAGAATATTTAATATTAGTAAGTACAAGTAATCTAAACCATGTCCAGGATATTCATGAAATTAAAAGATCAAAAGACAAGTTAAATTCCTTCACTATTATTATTAATAATTAGCAAACTTAGAGCTGGGTAAAATCTCCATCAGGCTGAGATCCAAAACATCCCAAGTGGAACTGGCCCAAGAGGCTGTCATAGAATTACCTCAGTAACCTGGATTTCTGTATACCCAGTCTCTCCGGCTGGACTAGAGATCTCCAGCTAACGAGGAGAAAAATCAGGAAATCATGAAGCTTCCTGGCTCTGCAATTTGTTAGATGAATCCATTCATAAAAGGAAATGAGTATATCAGGGAAATTGTTTATATTCGACAGTGGGAACAGTAGCAGCACATTCAAGACAAAACGTTTCCTTTTCTGTCATTTTGCTTTGCAAACAAACAAAAATATACATAAGGAAGCAGACATTTTTAGAGAAAAAGTAATTCATGAAAGAGCCACCTTTCCCTGTTCTCTTCTTTGCTTCACCTGAAAAATGTGAACAGATGGAAAGTTTTAGAAGAAGACTTGAAAAATATCGGCATCATGTCTGCTCTGCTATAAAACAAGAGGTGAAAGGCAGTCGTACTACAAAGTTCAGTACGAGGAGAGGGATTTCTGCATTAGCTAAAATCACTTCCACATAGGTTCTGCAGCTCTAGGATAGGCAAGGATTTTTGATATTAAATCTGTTGCCAAGGTTTAATTCAAGAGGTTTGTCATCATTTTCAAAGATTCGTCCTTAATGGGAACAGTGAGTTAAAGAATGTAACTCTGCCTGCAACAGCTTTCTAAATGAGCAGAATAAATCTAGAGAACATGTTCCAAAGGCTTCATCAAAAAGTTTGAAAAGGCATCTTGTGCTGCTAAAAGTTCTTATCTTGGTTGTAATTGAGCACCACTCTGTAACTGGGGGATACAGCACTCCCAAAGCTGAACAGCAATGTAGCTGTATTTCAGTATCTCAGATTGCAACTGGAATATAGGGAAAGGTCTGGACAAGTGACTGTCGTTATCTAAACATGTTCACCTGGGCATCGTCTAACACCTTCTTGCGAGCACACCCTCTGCCTGGAAATCAGAAGCACAGTAAAAGAAACCACCCACATATATTCCAGTCACAAAAACTTTAACATTTACCAGTGACACCTGATTAATAGTTTTGCCTGTTGTGTTCCTAATTGCACCTCCTGGGTGCTCCAAGCCCTTGATCTCTGGCATTCCTTGCCACTCACCCATGGTGTACCATGAGTTAAACAGTAATGAGAGAGGCATTTCCTGGAGCGAATGACCATCTGTGAGGAGTTGATAGCCCACAGCTATACCACAGGCAGTTATCCCAAATTATTGTTCATTCCATAGAAGTGTCACATGCCAAGGTCATTATTGATTTTATAAGCAGAATATAAAATCATAAAGGTAGGCCTGTGGATTTTTGTTCTATGTGCAACACGATTTCCATGGCTACCTACAACACATTTCCAGATCAGATACTCCCCCAGGTAAGCTGGGCTACACCTTCCTAGTGCTGTTGAGATGATAGCCTGGTCTTTGATCACTCATCCTATTTTGTATTTGCTTTACATTTTTGCTGATTTATAAATATGTAAAAAGATCTGCCTAGCAATAACATTATTCAGAAGAAAAAAAATCCATTCTAATGGAGAGAAATATATCGAACGCCTAACTTTCAAGAACAATGGGGAAGGGAGGGCAAAAAGCAGCTGGGTTAAAACTTAAGGAAAGTTCTAGCTACGTGGAAAATGAAATCCTCTTCAGATGCAAATAAGAGTCTTAGATGAGAGTTTCCAATACAAGAAAGGAAAGAAAAGACCCTCGCACAGCTATCTGCAGCACAGCACCACGCGTGTATTGCCTCCTAGCTGAATGTGCGCAGCTGGAGAGAAACCATGTCCGTACAGAAGGTGTATGGCAGCGTACACACACGCAGGAGGGCACATCCAGCCCTCACTGGGCATGACACAGCTCTGCAAGCAGGACCAGCCCCACAACACTAACTCCTTCTGAAGAGGACTTTTAGGTAAAATGGGTCCAATTCTTCCATACCCCATGCAAGAAGTGTCCCACCCAAAGGTTTTACAACAGAAATCTCCCCGCTTTTAAATTTGGTGAATACTTTTCAACCATTTCCACTCATTTAACTCAATTGTTGATTCTCTCATTTACACTATTTTATTCTTTGTTTCTTCTTGCTTTATCCCAATCCTTCAACCTCTTTTGAAGGCTTGGGACAGAGTTCCTTGTCCATGTGCTACATACAATTTGGCTTGCTATCCTATACTGAGGCATTTTTCCCATTTGTGAAGGCTGCAAGCAACACAAAGAAACCCTTGCACATTGTTACAATACTACTTTTAGTAAAACATTACTAATTTAATTTCCTTGGTTAAACATCTTGGTAATTTTCAATGTCTGTTCAGATAGGTCCCCAAAACTCTTCCTGGCTACATGTTCTGTGTAACATTTGCCTATCACAAAACTTCTCTATTTCTAATCTCTCCCCCTCATAAAAAAGGGGGGAAAAAAAGAAAGAAACACACCACTTAAAGCCATGTCCTAACCCCAGGGCCAGGAAATTATTCCAGTTTCAGGGATTAACACCACATTTCAGCAAATCTGTCCCTTTCCTTACAACCTCTTTGAGTGACTATTCTGCCAGAGAACACCGTTACCATAGCAGAGACCTCCTGAATTTCTATCACGCTCCAAGAACATTGTACTAAACGAGGAATCTACATGCTATGTTGTTAAAATTGCAGTGTGGAGCTTTTATCATTCCCTCTGGTGTGACCCTCTGACCCAAAAAACATTTTCTAGTGTATTGGACCTAGATGTGTTGCTTCTGTTCAGACAAAAAAATGATTGAGAAAATTAGGTGCTTCTCCAGTGCAAGAGTGGGTGAATCTAATAGGAACAAACAAGAACAGACAGTTTCTTTATCAGAAATCTTCTGCCTGTGGAGCTTCCTTTCTGCTCTGTTGTTTTTTAGATCTGTGCTGCCACTAACATCTCTACCTTGGTCTCCCTCCTACTCAAATAGCAGTAGCTAAATCAATGCCCTGAACTATAAGCTTGACACTAGAAAAAGCCCAAAGCCCAAGTAACAGCAGATTTGCAGCTGCCTACCAGCCAAAGACACGATTGCTGATAGGAACCAGAAAACATGCAGTTTTCCACAACACGTTTTCTATAACACATTGAAAACATTCAAAAGTTAAACTCAGTGAATTTATAAAGTTGCTGAACTTCTACTTTTCTTTCTGATATTTGGGCCAGATTTTCATTCAAAATATTCCACCATGGTTAGATGTGATTTTTTTTTTTCAGTTTCCACTATAAAGCATGTGAAAGCACGGGAACTTCTTGAACTTCTTTCTTCCTTTTTTTTTTTTTCCCAAGAAGTGTAGATTTCTTTTCATTGCATTTTAGTATGATATGTACCAATATGTTGCTATAAAGCTTCTTCATTTCATCACATCTTTTTGACAGCTGGGATAGATCCCCTTCATATTTCTGAATTAAATCCTGTAATAAAATAAAACTTCTTAATTTGGTATAGGAGCATAGCATTAAAGCAGAAATTGAACAGCAGTGAAAACAAGATAATTCAAATCAAAATTTTCATGTCACAAAAAGTTCACATTTCACAAAAGATAAGCATACATCAAGCACACAGATTTCCTTACAAGTATGAAGACATCAAAGACAAAAAAAAAGAAACGTCACTGTTAGAGAATTTTTTATTGTATCATCCAATGACACTACCTAATTCTGTTAAAAATGACAGAACTAGATAAGCACCATAAGGTCCTAATTTCCACCCGTGTTTGGCATAGTCTAGCCTTTTTGCATTTGAATTAAACACAGTTACTAGTTCTTAAGGAGGCAGAAACTGGGTCTTAGAAACTTAATTATTGAAATAAAATTTCTTAACCATGGTTCCTACGTAACATATACATTTTTGACAAATAAATATGCATTGAAGAAGCACACTATTGAGCTGTTCCAAGGGAGAAGGAAACTTATGGATTGAGCAGATGCCAACACTACCAAATGAAGCACATCATGAAGATACCCGGGACAGCAGAGATGAACATGTCCCCACCACAGAATGGGGAGTGCCTTCACTGGAAACAGCCCTATTCACAACTAGCACAACAGTGCTCTCAAGAGTTAGTTAACTTCTCTGTACTTGAGCTAAAAAGCCTACTGTGTTTGGCTCTGCTGACTCTTGGGCAGAAGTGGGCTCCCTACAGCCTGCTCAGTTACCTCTCCGTTGTGTCCTCCAACCCACATTGCTCTGCCACTAGCGTGGGCAGAATCATTTTAGATCAACCTATACTCCCAATTTAGTCACAATCACTATTTGGATGATGTTTCTTGAATGGTCTTTTGTCCCAAGTGACAAGTCATAGGATGAGCGAAAATGGCCTCAAGTTGCACCAGGGGAGGTTTAGATTGGGTATTGGGAAAAATTTCTTCACTGAAAGTGTCATCAAGCTCTGGAACAGGCTGCCCATGGAAGTGGTTGAGTCACCATCCCTGGAGGTATTTAAAAGAGGTGTAGATGTGGCACTTAGGGACATGGTTTAGTGGTGGACTTGGCAGTGTTAGGTTTACGGTTGGACTCGACGATCTTAAAGGTCTTTTCCAACCCAAATTATTCTATGATTATCTACGCTATTTTCCCTTCTGTCTGAGGGAGAGGAAGTTATTACAAATTCATATATGCTCTAAAAGTGCTATTATTCCAAATTGTTTATTATGGGCAACAGTGGGGCTACCTGTTCCTTATCCATTCCAGCCCATGTGCCTGTGAAGCAAAAGCAGGAGATGAAGAAACTCTGAAAAGCCTTTCCCATTCTGCAGCTTATGGCATGAGACACTGTCAGAGGGGAATAAAAGGCCACTTTCCCTTCAACGCTCCTGACCCGCTTCTCAGGACAGGACTCAGCACAAACTAAGCGGGTTACTCATCTTGTACCTCCAGCCCACAATACAGTTGTGATATCATTACCTTTAGTTCCTTGCAGAACTGTGACTCCTGGGGTGTTGCCTTGATTGTCTTGAGTTTAATAAGCCGCCTGCACTGAATAACATTTTCCAATTCTCTTTTTAAAACTAACAAAAGAGAAAGAAAATGAGAAATTTCGCTAGCATGCCATTGTGTCCAAAGGACTGCAAATGTCTAATCCAGGACACACGGAAAATTTAGGAGAATATGGATCTATAATATGTTCATCTAGGAATATTAACTTTCTGTTTTTAAATAGAAATCCTATATGAGGCATGGGTCTTATGGGAAAAAGTAGTATGTGATCACTTCACAAGCAACTGCAGAATAATGAAGAGGTCAATAGTATGGTTATGCAGCAGCCGTAAATTTGACCTTTCCTAGCTTTGAGCATTGGGATTAGCAATGAAAATACATTCTTCAAATGCACATTTTTGTGTAGAAAGTTCAGGGTTCCTTTAAAGATAAAAGAACAAAAATTCTACTCTATGTAACAGTAAAAAATCTTGTCAGTTGGCAATAAGCACTACATCAGACTGCTGCCATGGGACCTCTCGTGGTGTGAAATGGGGGGAGAAGAGGATCCAGCATTGGCTCCAGGTGCTCAGTCCTGAATTGACCCGGGCTGCAGTCTAGCATCTTCCTCCCCTCGTCCTCGTGCAATACGTGCAGCAGATGAGCCCCAGGATGTGCCTTGGAATACATAGTGAAAAAGGCTCATTCAGTGGCTTTTGGTCCATCTCCTTCCCTCTCTGTCATGGAAAACAGGACTCAGAAGATAAGTGATCTACGCTGGACCCATCAGGAATCCATGGAGCGAAGTGGCCGGTCAATCTCCTCCAGTTCCTATAATTCACCTCCTTTGATGGTTCCAAACAGTTTCTGGTACCGTGTCTATTGTATCATTTTACCCATGACTTTCCAAACTGTATTTGTAATATTTAGTGATTTTGAATTGCTACCAACATTGTCCCCAAAGAATAAAAGAGATTGAAGGCAAACAGTGTTATTATTAGTTATGTATGTCTCCTAAAAAGTTGATTGGAATATCTTGGAACAGACTAAAAAACCACTTTTGTAGCCTCAAGCTACATGCCTGGCTGACACCCAAAGCCCAGCAGATTAGGAGCAAGGGTTTTTCAGACTGAAAGCTGAGAGCAACTATCATTCGGGTGTGTTATCAAAGGCTGAAATCAGATATATTGGTCTGTAGTTACAGTGAACACTCATGCCATATTTTTAAAAGATAGCTTTTTTATAAACTTTCAACACTATACTAGTAATTTTCATCCACTCATACACGTTCTCTCTCAGCTCTCAAAGGGTATAAAATCCATTGAATTCACTGGTCACCTTGTGATCCTGTTGAATGGTAAGTTGTAAATGTCTCCCAAAGTCTACTTTACATTTGAACAACCTTATTCTGTTCCCTCCTATCGACTCCACTGGTGTTGGACTCCTTTCTAGAGAAGGACACCAGTTTGGTTCAAAGAAATTCTTGAACTTCAGGACCGAACTGTAGGAAGTTTTCTCTTGCTGCATTCCGTGCTCACAGAGACTCCGCTACAGCTGTGACTTTGATGAAGCACTTATATCACTTAAAATTTGTAGTTTATGATAAACTCTATTTACCATGGGCAGTATATTTTTTTTATATTTCTAAACCACCTGTACACACTTTAATATTTCTTTTTTAAAAAAATTCTGCACAGTAACATGGCAGGGTAAGTATCACCATAGCAACAATTTACTTCAATGTTTTGAACCTTTACTTCTCATTGCAAACTACAGAAGCACAATGAAAACCTGTTCCAAATGACTGCACAACATATGAAAATCTTTCTCCTAATTTAGAAACCCCATTTACGTACCATCAACTTCAGCACTGAGGCCTTTCATGGAAGCTGGAAGGAAACAGAGAGGGGAAAAAAATGCTAGTAAGTATCATTCATATTGTGAGGATGGGAGTTTCCACAGAAGTTGAAGGACTTCATTTTTTATTTGTTGAATTTTTTTCCCCTCCCTCCTCTTACCATCAGGAACAGCTTCAAATTCTGTCAACTCCTGAGAAAATTTAGCCAAATCAGGCTCGTGTAAGAAGATCTGCTCCACAAGGGCATGAAGCAAGGTGAACGTCCTCTCCTTACCTCGCAACAGAGGTAACTGCAAATAGAATAGAGCAATAATTGACAGACTGAGCTATTATACTAAAAAAAAACAAACAAAAAAAGAAAAATAAAAAGAAAAGAAACAGCAGGGATGATGATAGCTCCCAGGTAAATTTGACAAGAATAGAAAACACATTGAAATTAAACTTATCCTTTGCAATCTGCCCTTTCACAGACATTCTTAAGATCAGCTTTACACTTTTATATCCATTGACCTTCCTTGTTCTTTTCTGTCTTCTTATTCACATGGGTCTTTTTGAACTTAAGGTATCCTAATTGATTGCAACTGATTTTGGACCTCCAAACACAGTCATTATTCCTTTCCACTTAAAAGCAGTGTACTGTGTTCACATAGGTAGTAAAGTTCCTTAATTGAATCTGGGAAGATGCTCTGTGGCAGAAAATGATTTTGTAGGCATTTTTCATTGTGATAGATGGGGTATTACGGTGATTATATATATATATATAAGAAAAGAATGCAAGTTGTGTCTCAGAATTGTCACTAGAGTTATAAATCTCTCACTCATATATTAAAGTCTCCAGATGGGAAAGATACCTTGCAAAAACAAAATAAAAATCCTTCTCTCTTCTATTTACAGATCAAGCATAATCTAACAATAGTGTTAAAGGTACAAGGCAGCTTAGGAAATTTGTATCTATTTCTTCCTTTTTAGGATAAGAATATGATGCTCTGCCACTGTTGGGTAGAGGAGGGGAAAAAAACCCCTGTGCTCAGTAGCAGCATTTTCTGATGACAAATTCTGACAAAGAGGGGAAACAGTTTCCTTAAAACTAATGGAAAACTCAGTCTAATGTCACGCAAGAGGGAGGTCAGTGAAGACACAGAGAACTAAAAGCTAGATGATGCTTCTTGCACAGCAGATCTCTGCCAGGAAAGAGTAAAGATCACAACTGCCACCTTCATCCCCTATTCAATCATCCAGCAAGGCAACGATTGGGAGGTGAAAACTGTTGCAGGCAAATATCACTCCCTTTGAATTCACAAATTTATTAGCACTCCTCTTTTGAAACTTTACCTTAAAATGGCATTGTACCACTTGTTGCCAAAGACGTTTGCATTAGAGTAAAATGTAGCACTAAGAAATTATTCCAGTGCCATAAAAGTGCAACTACCACAAAAGAAATGCCATAGTTACAGCCTCCGACCACAGTGAAATGAAGAGGATTCATACAACAGTGCTCTGCACAGAACTGCAAAATAAAACTTATCCAAACTTGAATCTACCCAGGGGCCTGCAGCTCAGATGCCTCTTCTAGCCAGGGAATCTTAGTATCAGGGCAGTCCGCATTTTGATGTTCTACCTCATTAGAAACACGGTGTGTTCAACACCACAGCACCCCCATCTAGCCAGCGCTGGCTGCTGTCTACGATGGGGAAATGCATCTTGTTATAACACACATTAAAGAATACATTGTTAAACAGGATTTTGTTTCTAGTGTAACCAAGAGCAGATGTTGAAATGTTAGCTACTCATTAAAAATGATTGCCTTTCCTCACATTCAGGGCAAAACTGAGTTAATACTAATGGCTAATATACCTTATAATATGATGATTTTAATGGCAAGATAAATATTTACTCACTTTGGTCAAAGATGACAATCGAAATCCTTTAGCCTTCTCTTTTCCAGCCTTTTCATTTAAATGGTTCCCAATGGCTAAAATATACTCCAAGACAGCGACAAATTTCTGGCTGGATTGCAGCTGCTTACTCGCTTGGATTTTCTGATTTATTAGCTGAAACACACAAATCTTCCTTCAGTTCAAATTAAAAATATGAGTAAATTAGTGGTGCCTGTACCTTCCCTTTACCAAAAGCCTCATCGTCCCCACCTGAAGCAAGTCACACTTTAGCTGATGGATACCTTCCTGTTCAACTTCCCTGGGGAAACAGGCCAGGGGTTTTCAGGAAGGACCTCTTAAAAGCCTCCCACCAAGATAAAGCAGGTGTTGGCACTGTGACCCTGCCCCTGATGTATGTCACATCCTTTCTGGCTGCCAAAATGACTGCAACCTCACTTCTTAAAAATTCTTCTGAAGAAAAAGTATTTTGCTGTTTGAATTCACCAGATTGCACCAAATGTCAGGCATCAGGGGAAGCAGATAGCCCAAAGTGCAGTGTAGGGTTCTCCATTCTTCACCTCCCTCCATTCTGTTTTTACTAGCTGAAGACAGTTATCGTATCAAAATTCTTAGCACAGTTTCCCCACAAGGAAGGAAAATAATTTCCTGTAATCGAACTCAGTATCAATTTCTGTTTTCCCAGGGAAGCCACCATCCTTCTTGGGCCATAGATACAAGGGGTGGTTTTGATTTAAGTTAGGAAATGTTTATTTTTTTAGCACCACACCTCTCGTCATCAGTCACCAACACATGAATTTAAAAACAGGGAAAGGATGAAACATGTGGGAGAGCTGAAAGCCGTTGTTAAAACATTTATAGCACATCACAGGACCAGAGGGTGCTCAAAGCCAATATTCAGATTGTTGTATAGAATTTTAGATGTGTAATCTATGCTTTATAATCATGTGAATCTTGCATAAGTAAGAAAATACTTAGACAACAAATCAGCTCTTCAATGAACATTAAATATGCTTCAAAGCTAACAGCATATATAATATCTTCCAAATATTCAAATATATGATTTCAGTGGAGGACAGCAAAGGTGAAGCATTGCAGCAGGTAGGGTCAGAAATCTGTGCAGCTCCCTGGTGTTTTCCATCTGTTCATCTTCTGAGCTTTGTTCACTGTTACTATGGTTTTAATCACAACCAGACAAAAGATAGCAACTTGGACTTGCAGAACTTTCAAATTTTGTTTTCATTCCCATGCATAATGAGAGCAAAATCTGTGAAATATTTTCACAGAAACAGAATCATGTTGAAATACTTTGTTTTGAATGAAAGCGTGTACAAACCCTGGCAGGTAAGGCAGCGGTTTGGAACAGGAAGATGCAGTCCATGAGACTGGAACACTGTTTATTTGCACCCCTCCCACCCCACCCCTAGGTCATCCTGAAAAAGGCAGGAAGGGACTTGATCTCTGGTTTGCAACATTTCATTTCAGTGCTGTAATCCTTAGGATGAACAGCCTCTTTCAGGCTTCTGAAAATAGTAAATGTCTATGAGATGCCGGTCAAATAAACTTGCTCTAAGTATCTATGACTTTAGCTTGATCCAGCTTGTGGGGCAAGAACCTCCCCACAAAAGGAATTGAAAATTAATGGTGAAATTTGCTTCTGTCTTATCACTGGCCAAAGAAAGAGGAAAGTTTAACAACCCCAAATAAAAATTTGAAAATCCATTCCTGTTCTTTTCTCCTTCCTTTGTGGATGCCTATTCCACTGCCAGGCCCATTACCAACTGCTTCTTGAACCTTAGTGGGATAAGGATGACATTAAATGCACAAACATATATATACCTGCATAACATAGCCCTCATTTGTCTCCATTTTTTTTCACTTTGTTTTGTTTTGAACCAGTACTCTGGAATACTTTCATTAACAAAGCACAGTAAAATTAACTGGATTCCCAAAAGCATTCCCAATGCATCAGCCGACAATTCCACTGTATTTCAAACATAGCCTGTCTCCAACAGTTTCATGTCATTTACAATTCCTTGGCTATCACAGACATGACCTGGAAATATTTTTTAAATTTTTTTAACCTTTTTACTTGTTACTTTTGAACAGTACCATGAAATGTTTTTTGAACACACTAGGCTGCCTGGATTATTACATTATGAATTGCTCACATTATGGACTATGAGATATTTTGCTATAGGGGAGAAAATAAAAAGGAAAAAAAAACAGAACAAAACTTCCCCAACTACAGTACTTTGAAATGCATTGAGGCCACTTGGCCCTCTACTATCTAACTGCTAGATTTTAATTACAAACACACTATGAAGGAGTCATCTTACTTACAGGCTCCAAATCTCTCATGCTCACAGGGAGCTCACGTATGGTAAGCAGGAGATCCAACCTCTGGCCCAAGTGGGGGATTTTACACATCTGCATAGAATTAAATAGAAAAGGAATCAAAAGCCATGTTTATACCAAAATATGCACATATATCTTTCATAATTTATTAATTCAGCTGCACTATAATTTTCCTAACTTCTGTGCTCTTTTATTAATTTTATTCTGGGCCTTAAGTCTGTAGATACAATATGGCAAATACAAAAATCACATACCTGCATCATTTGCGTATGCAAATTCAAGAAAACACTGTATGCTAGTAAGGACAGACACTATTAAAATCAATTACACTGATTTATTGTAAACAAGAATAGTTAAATGCATGTAATTTTATGCTTAAAGGTTGTGGAACTCTAACTCAAAATAAATCAGCCCCTGCTTTGGAGGAAGTGGACAGCATGTGACTTGGAGAAGCAAAGAGATCCACAGAGTTCTCATCATAATATCTACCTATCTCAACTCTGTCTCACATAAATCTTCTTATACTGATTCTGGCTGAGATTGTGAATTTAAGTTTCAAACGCCAGCTTCCTGTAGCGGTTTTATCTAGCAGAAAGTGTACTAGAAAGAGCACATGGTGTCTTTTAATGCTGCGCCTGCTTACCTCCAACATAAACTGATCAACCACATGCAGCTCTGAAGGAGACCCCTTGAATGACTGGTACCTTTCTGCGTCCTTTGGTGTTGGCAAGTATCTGTAAAACAGCAAATGAAAATTAGATATCCTTTTCCTATTCATTCTATATTGTTGTAACATAAACCAATCACCCCCATTCATGCATCGGAATTTCTTACTGTTTACTGTGCTTTATATGTTGCATATTTATTCTTTAACCATTGGAAATTTATAGACTTTTAAGCCAACTACACGATGAAAAGTAAAAATGCTCTGCAGATCCACTGAATGAACCTTTCAAAGGCACCTCGAAAGAATATACACTTTTCAAGCAGTTATGGCCACGGTTGTCTCCAGCAATAACTTTTTTCAAAAGTTAGCACGAAAGGAGAGACTCATGCTGTAGTGTGATTAACCAGTGGTCCCCACATTCTCACCAACTCCTACCTCTAAAACTTGTTTAATTGCCCATGAAACAAGAGTAGGCAATGGTGTTTCTTTCTCTCTAAGTGCTGCATCACTTCCAAGATCCATTTCTCATTTTTGTTGCAATAGCATGTAACACAGACCCTCAACCTTTGTCCTTCTGCGTAAGGTAACAGAATATTCGCCCACAGTACTCCAGAGCTACAGATTTTTAGAACACTGACGTCTTTAAACATGCCTCCACTTGGAAAAATCAACTCTCACCACCACAGTTCCACTACTTTGGAGATCTTCCTGCCTGTCTGACTGATACACTCTGGGAATTCATTGCATATCTTAAAGAAGAAAAATGAAATTGATGTTATAGCTAACATACAAGAAGGAGTGTTAAGAATCTCAAATAAGTATTCAGGTCTACTCTCTTCTTTCTCTGCAAACAACCTATTAAATTTGTAGCAAGTGTGATTAAACATTCATGGGGATAGATATACATTTTCATTAAAAGTAAGGAAATTTGTTCAAAGATGGAAAAAATAAAGATTTTAGCATGTTAAATACAGGACAAACAACGATTTTTTTTTTTTACTGTTGTCAATAATTCAATATGACACTTCAGTTGAATAATTGCTAGGTTTTGAATTATTAAATCTATTTTAAAGCAGAATACAAAATATTCCATTCATCACCCTTCATCATTAAGAAAAAAATGAATTCTCATTCAAAAATAAAGGTTATCTGTTGGCAAATGAAAGGTTTTTTATGTATCGTTAAAAATAGTTTGACTTTTTAAGCAAATTCAAAGAACATTTTTTAAAGCTGACAACAAATATCTATTTAATCAGAATTTTGATGTCCCATCAAATTGTTTTAATGTATTATGTACATGAAATGAAACTTGCAGATTATCTAGAAGATTTAAATCTTAAAGCATTAAACAATGGAAGCTACAGAAAAAGAAGCACAAGAATCTGTGAATGCATTCCATAAATATCTTTTTACATGACTGCAACTCTAATGGAATTTGTGCAATGAAAAATCTCCAGCTGTTCTGAAAAATGAAGTTTGTAGAGACAAAGAGTGTTTTGCTACTGATTTTAAGACATCAGGTTAGAGAATCATTCAGAGAACTGTGGACAGGTTTCTGTATCAAAATAAGTCCTGAAGTTTCTAATAATATTCTACCACATCCACTAACCTTCACTGGACACACGAGCAGATTTTACTTACTGGTCACAGTCTCAAAAATGTAATCTGGGTTTTGTCTTTAAAAATTTTTCATTTTACAATAGTAGAATTTAGACCTTCTGCTCAGGCTTAGACAGTATGACAGTTATAATTTGCAAAGATGAATTTTCAACTCCCTGACTATCCTGTTTAAACTCCTGTCATAACCAAGGTTCTCAATTAACTGGAGGCCACAGTCTTCAACAGTAAAATTTTCCACCATGGCACTTAAATCAAGTGGAAAGGTCTTCAAAACTGCTAAGTGTCCTGCTACTTGTATCGTTCCAACTCTACTATAGTGCATGGTACAAGAAAAACTTCTGATTGATGATGTTTCAAGCTAAGCATCTACCCCTTCCATGAGATGTCTGCATGGGAGCTCTAAGACACTGAACTGCCTTGGAAATCCAACCCTCAATACTGAAATGCACTTCGTCTATTTCAGTAACATTTATAAAACTGTTGGGGTGGAAAAAATTGGCTTCCTTGCACTACATGCATTCCTAGATTTTGGCAATAAATAAGAATTCCAGCAACAGAATCCTTGATCCTATGTAGCATATAGCGATACAACAGGCAATCTCTCTTACACATTCCACTGCCAGAAAAATTTCCTCCACATTATTGCTATCAAAGGAAGACTCTGAAATCTTCAGGGAAAAAATAAAACCTTTCAAGCTTCATTGCCATCAACATTATTATTATTATTATCTGATGGCAAAGAGCCCAGATGCTATAAATCAGTGATCTCAGCAGTGTTACACCAATATCAACAGTGTGGAGATCCTGGACTGAATCTGCAGTGCTGTATTAGGGCTTGAACAATAGAGTGTGTTCAGTGTTTTCCCTCAAACCGAGGCGTGAGCAGAGGCTGCCCTTGTAAGCGGGGCTGGCCAGACCCCAAGCACTCTGCTGTGCTGCAGGACTGGAAGCTTTGCCTCACTCCTGCCAGCTTCAGCCATTAGTTTCCCCAGAGACAGCCGCATGAGTATCTGGAGAGCAATCTCGATGTCCAAGACATTTCACTGCAATTATCTCCTGACCAATTCCATCACTGCATTTAGAAACAGCAGTACAGCAGTGAGATCTTTCTTTTTGGAGTAAAGCCTTTAAGGTCAGTTTTTGAAAGGCAACAGAGCTCTATTACCTTCAGTGGGGCTATACACCTTTCACTAGCTCATAATCTGCTGTGCACCAGTGCAGGGTACAACTGGTAAAAAGTACTGGGGCAGCATGGAAACTTCCTTCATATGCATGTGTTTAATAAAATGGCCCAAGCACCACATGAGGAGTGGGATATATAAGAATACCACTCTAGGATCCCACTTCTTTCCTTTCTTTCTATGTCTTAAATGATTCCAAGAGATACAATCCAGTTCTTACAAATTTCACATGCCAATAGTTCACTTACACTCCTGAAATATTACTTTTCTAAATATACTAATGCACTTTTTTTAATGATACAGAAATTTGCATTCTGCTTTAAACCCACAAATCTCTGCCACTCAGGAATAATGACATTCTTCATATCCCATCATCTCATGAAGCTCCTTTAACACTCAGCTGCCTTTCTCCTCTCCAAACCAATTTTAAATCTTTCATTTCTGATCCCACGATAGACGGTAAGGCTGTATTAATAGATGTTTTGAAGTTTTCTCATGAAGTTACACCTGCTCACTGCCACAGCTTATTCTTTTAGTAACTCTGTGCCTTGTAATTAGTTCTCAAAATCATGTCAGATTCGTTATCATTTCTTGCAATCCACTTTCCTACACAACACAGGAAAAAGTGATATTTTGGGGAAGTACTCTAAAATCTCAGTTACAAGGACTGAGATTTCTGTGTGCAACCCGAATATTCTATTCACAGTCAACATAGATACAATGTCTCAATAACATCTTTCCTGAACTTCCCATTATTTGCGTAAGATTATGTCTTCTCCAAAATATACTATATGGTATAAACAAAAAATTGAACCACAAAGATTACCTTCTTAGTGCTGTTATCTGCTCATCTGTAAGTCCACCACTCTCTTCATGTATAATATATAATTTTTCTTTCAGCTCACTTGGTTTTATACGGAAACTTTTAAGAAAAATATCTGGAGAAAAATGATTCTTCAATTACTTGAAAGAAAATCCTCAAGAGGAGGCAAATCACCAAAATATTTCATATGAGGAGAGGAGAGGAGAGGAGAGGAGAGGAGAGGAGAGGAGAGGAGAGGAGAGGAGGAAAAAGAACAAACCCCAGAAAACCCTCAAAACACTTAGTAGCTGCTAATGCTAAGGCAAAAACTCAGTCTTAGTATTTTCTTTAAATATACATAGCAGTAGCCAAGCGAAAATACATTTCTGTCAGAACATAGCCAATGCTTAAGACAGAACTCTCGAGATACTGTTATCGGAAGGTACTCAACTATTTTCTATTATATATTTCTCTTGTACTCAGCTGAACAGTCAAAACAATTTTTTTCCAAATAAAAATACAATGTACTGGTAGATTATAAAATTTTGAATAAAGATATTAGATTTTCTATTTGTTTTGATTTTATTTACTTGCTATTTTTAATTTCTAGGGTTCAAAACAAGGTAATTAGAGTCCATGTAAGAAAAAATACTCCCAAAATGAAGGCAACCTGGGAAACAGACATGCTCATTTCTTCCACACTGACCAATATTCTAAAATCTGATTAAGAGATTTTGTAATGTTTAAGACTTCTCTGTTGACATGGGGCTGTCTCATAATACATATGGAAAGAAAGCATCTTTTCCCCAAACAGGCAAAGAACCATGTGTAAAGCTGTTGCTTCTGAAAAGACTACTTTACCTCACCAGTTATTCTTTAATTACTGTCTGTCTCCATCATCATTACCAAACAATGAAGGCAAAAAAGGAAGCACAAGGAAGTGGACAAAGGACATCAGCAAAGAAAGCAAAAAGTTTTAAATGCTTCTAGGTGTTGGCACAAAACTTATCCTAGAGTCTCGGCTGTGGCAGAACTCGTCTGAGCAGCACAAGTGGATTAGGAAGGAGAATTCAGAACGGATGTATATGATTTACCTTTTTATTTTTCTCCAATCCTAGAAAGGAACAGCGTTTTTCAGGTTATAAGAACTTGGTGTGGCCCAAATCAGCTATTAATGGTTCTCAGGAGACTGTTGGTCAGTGGAGTATATACCATTTATTCTTCCTCTGACACACTTTCCACCCTTTTAATTTTGTTATAAGTTCTAGCTTTCATGTTCAGCTTGGCAGAATCTTCCCCTTTTATTCTCATGCTTTTCATGCCTTATATCTTTTGTTTCACTATGCCTTTTAAACCATATATCTCTTCAAGTGGGTTGATGTCTATGGACTGTAACAGAGTGAACCATTCGTACTGAAATGTTGATTTTAAAATCTAGCTGCTTCCTTTTCATAAACTGTCTACAAAGCATTTAAGATTTTTTGAGCATTCTCAGTAGCTGAAATTAGCCACTGAAGAAGTTCTAGTCATCAGACTTTGCCAAAGTAATCAGTTACAAATATTTAACAAATAAAATTGAAGATATTGTTTGCTGGTCAAAGGTCACACAGGGTTGTTTCAGCTCCTTTTCCTGGATGATCTGAATCTGAGAACTGGATTCCTAATGAAAATATTTATCACACAAATTCAGAATTAGTTTTCTAATTCAGAATTTTTTTCTAATCACCCGTATGAATTGTCTCTATAAATGCTAAGGCTTTTAAACTCCTTTTCCAAAACACTCATGAAAACCTGGCACAAAGTGGATGAATACAGTGATTTGTCTGAATACAGGATTTCTCTTTAACTCTAGTAAAAATCCTGCTTTTCTATAGCATTCACTCCTTTTAGAAGCAGTTGAGTTCTTGCCTACTTTCTAAACTTCCCTTCATTCTGAAATACTACGAGCAACTTTTTCTTCAAAACAAATATGTTCTTCCTGCTCAGTTTCTATCAGTTTCTTGATTTTTTATTCAACATTACCATGTCATCTTGAGTTTCAAAGTATTTTCCTCAGCAAAATAAGTGTTGTATATATGGTAAACTAGGTCTCATACAGAGAAACAGGCACCAGTCAAGTATCAGAAGCAGGTATTTTGACTCCTAAGTCGTTTTTTCACCCACTAGATCCCACATTCTTGGATTAACATATGCATTACAGTGTCTCCCGAGACTTTGTCATTGCAAATCTGAGGATGTTTTTCTTGTCTCTTTGATACCTGTTCTCTATATAGCAGAAATTTATTATGTCTACAAGAAGTCACAAGTTAGCTTAGCTTTTATTTGCATTTTCTCATACATTGGACTTAAACGTAGTGTGTAGATCTTCTCTCAAAACTCCCATTTTTCTCTTGCGTTCAGAAACCCACTCAAATTCTCAAGAAATTTTAACCTACTGGCTTTTTGGAGCTTCATCTTTTTATTCAGTAATTTAAGAACTGTGGTTTGCAGCACTTGCAAAAATATTATCAGAATTCTCAGGATCAAATTAACTTTTGATCTAAGTAATGTCCATTACAATAAGTATATGCCAAAAAATCACACTGATGGGACTTTAAGGATAAGATTAGGTAACGGGTGTAGAATATCTCCGTGAAAAAAGTTGTAAGAGGAAAAAGATCAAAAGGAAGAAAGGTGCTATTTGCAAACAAAAAGAAATAAATTTCCTCAAAGAAACTGCAATAATTTACTAGATAAAAGTGTCATTGCAGGATTCTTTTTATCTGCAACAGCACTTTTGTGTTACTCCCTTTTAACCCTTCAAATTTTTAGTCAATGGATGCAGTAATTCCAACAAGTTATCTCCATTTACTGTTCCCAATTAAAACTTTACACAGTCTCCAGAATATATCCTCTCTTATCAGTATTCATAAAGATGAAATCATTAAAACTTCAAATTAACTGCCCTAAATTCTTTACGCATGTAACATTTCTTAAAACAGAACTAGGTTATAGAACTTTTATGGAAAGTCATTTCTATAATAGATATCAGAGTAGTCTTTGAAGAACAATTGCTCTTGCTCCTTTAATACCTACCACTTCTCATCAAAGTAATTGAAAGATCTTTACATCATTTTATTAGTAAGACCAGAACTATGTGTTCAACTCCTTCAACAGCTGTGAAACACTGTCTTAGGCCAGGCCTTTGTCAGAATCATACCTGGGATACAAGAAGGAAGGATGCTGTTCATGATCATTCAAGACAGCCGTTCACAGTCTAAGCTATTGGCCAGAGGAAGGCCAAGCAAGCCCCTAAGATCTGACTTGTAGCTGTCTCAAAGGCTTCTTACACCGACCCATCTAAAACTCCATGAATATTCTCGAACTCGATGTAGGAGAGAGACTGAACACAATACTCACAGTTCTAGCTACTAAGGTGTTTCTATTGACTTGTTTAACCGGGACAGCCCACAAAATTTGATAAGTCTTTGAAATCAGAGTCTTAACGTTGACTTCACAGTTGGACTTCATGATCATAGAGGTCTTTTCCAAGCTTAATGATTCTATGATGGTGATTCTACGATCACACATGATTTTACATGTCTGCCCTAAGACAACATCATCACAGCTCGATGGCACATCCATATGTTTTTTACAAGAGAAGCTTGGTGCTTCTACTTTACATCAGTAAGCACCACATTTAGAGCAACTGAGCCATGAGCTCTATTTTAATAAACAAGTAGAGGGGGACTGAACTAAAAGATTATTTAGACACAAGGTTGTCTCCTTTGTCTACTGAATGGCAGAAAGTACAAATAGAAGATGCATGCAGTGCTCACCCCAGGCTTCCACATAGGAGTACACAGTTCTTATTAATACACTTACTGAAGTTATGTGCAATTTTTCGGTCTAACATGATGTGCTGATTCACTGAAGGTTCATTGCCTGAAAACACTGCCATGTCCTGGATCTGGAACTGATCACAGAGTCTGGATATGTCTATTTTTTTCTTGCACGGATCACATGATCCCCAGACAGACTTTTGAATCTAAAAATACAGGAGTGACAGGGTAAACAAAAGGCCAAAAGAACAGAGACACTTTGTTCCATCCACACATACAGAAGGGCATCCAGGTTGTTTTGTGGCACAGCTATACTTTTATGATAACTATTCATGTAATACAGGCTACAATCATTTTTTCTTTAACAGATACCGTCACTTTCATTCTCACCTTATCACAAGGAACAATATCCCAGTGAAAGGCTTTGGTTCTCTTCGTCAATGGAGAGAGACTGCAGGGCTGTGGGAATCCAGGTGGGGCTGGTGGTACCTCTGCCTTACTTAAGGGAAGTGGAAGAGATGGTGATGCTGGGGCTGTGTCTGCCTCTGCAGGGTTTGTCTGGGGGCTTGAAGACTTTTTCAGACTGGTTGTTGCAGAACTCACATCAGAGTGGAGGATCTCCTCTTTCTGTTCGTTCAGAGGCACAATTAAATCCTCATAATCAGCTTCAGAGGAGGTGCATCCTTGAGATCCCTCCTGAGGCAGTGAGGCACCCTTGCACAGTGGACAGTACTTTTCTATGAGAGACACCCATTCATTCTGGAGCTTGCTAACATCCTCTGTCCTGTTATTTTGGACAGTAAAGGGTATTCGAAACCTGAAATTTAAGAATGTCATATATAAATGCAAGGAAGTGTAAATAACATGCTGACTAATACAGCCACAGATATTTCTTATTTAAGCAGAATGATGTTCAGCAGCTTTACTTGTCAAAGGAGCCCAGTGCTGCTGACTCTGACCTTTTCAGAGAGAGTTAATTGCTCATGTGTCTAAGGTTAGAGAGCTGAAGTTTGCCATATATTGACTTTGTGGTGCTGTTACCTCGTAATTCCTCTTCTCCACCTTGGGGGAAGGTGAACAATGTGCTACATCTTACTGTGCTTGTTGTACAAGCTAGTTAGAACATGTTCACACATCTGTCCTATCAAGCTGACTGATACATCTCTTCACTGGCTCCTGACACGACAAGTACAAAGTCTTTGTAGGCAGTACGTCAATGTATCTTCTCAATTCCACAATGTGGTACTTTTGATTCCTCCTCAAAATACTCATCAAATCACCACAGAGCAATGGGAGGGGTTCTCTATATAGTTCTGATGGCTTCGTTTCTCCACTGTTGTATTTTGTTCTGGGACACTGAGATTCTCTGTTGTTTGACCTTATTTTCAGTTCTGCTTTAACATGTTATTAATTACCAACCATACTTACAAATAATTGTGTTCTTTGGTCTGGACTGAAAAGATACGGCATCCATTCTCCTTGCTGACACTCACATTACCACCTGATAAATTAATTGTATTTGTTACAGGGTCTGCAGTCTTGTTATTTCCTCCCAGATCTATGCAATACAAAGTCAATTCTCCTTCACGTAGTTGTACCAAGTACCTGAAGGACAAGGAATGGAGATACAGTTCATTCTTCAATGACTACTTATTTACACAATCCTTGCATTTTCTAACATCAATAAAGCATTTTCTAATGTCAGTATGTCTCCACATGCTTATAGCATCTTTCATGGAAAAGTCAAAAGGTATCAATATTAAAGCATAAAACCTTTCAAATAAGGCCTTCTTATTCTCATCTGACATGTAAGCAAGCTGTGACATAAAACATGAACTTCCAGCCTGCCATGCCTAACGGGAGAGCTAAAACTAAGAAGAACTATCAACCAAAAATCACCTAAGTCCTGTTAATTTGTTAGCCACACTGTGCCTCCCACTCTATTTATTCCTCTCATTTTTTTGGTATGGTGGGTCTTTTGGTCTATGAGCTTTTAAAGGAATTCACTATGTGACCGAGCAGCACACAACATGATAAGCCTTGAGAGTTTCCGTGTCTTCCAGGTTTTACTGCTAACAAGCTACAAACAAGTCACCATACTATAAGCTAGTGCCCAGCCTTATAGCCCAATAACTCTCCATCTTGGAAATGCCTCTGTGCGTGCTCTTACTCCGTGAGGATTGATCCTGGTCCCCCCTCACTCCCACAAGTCACTTGACAGGAACAGGTCAAAATATTCTGCTCTCAAGGGCTTCCATCAGAAATGACTGTGCCAGTTTTGGGTATAACCTATTTAAATGATAAATTAATCCTGGCAGAAATTGCCTGACAATACACAGCTTCTATTACAGCAGTCTTCTGCTTCAGTTTCTCCTCTAGGACTCTGCTCCACTGCTTATAACAAAGGTACCACATTCAACAACAAATCGGGCTTTACTGTATGTGTTTTTTATTCTTATTTAAGCATTTGCATTCTCATTTTTCATGAGGGTTACTGCATTTCTTTATCATTCTGACAGTTCTATCAAACCTTTCTTTTCCTCCACTCTCTCTTCAAGGTGTGGCTAGTTGATTAAGGTGTTCTGTGAGGAATTTAAATAAGTTTAGCTGCTCCAGAAGAATTAAACATAAAATATAAATTGCATCTATTCCCACATAAACAGTCAAAGTGATAAGAATTGTTTAATGGAGCTGGCAGTAATATTGATCTTTCTTTAAAGCAGGGACTTATAGTTTAATCGGATCTCCAGATGTTTCCACCATTATTTACTTTGCCAAAGAAAAAGAGAGGATTAATATCAAGAAGAAAGCAACAAAGGCTTTGCTTCACAAGATAAATAAAAATCAATTTTTTTTTGTTAACAAACTTGTTAAATATTGCAAGGTAACAAATCCTGGGACACACTTGAGGATAACATTTACAAGACATACAGTGGTAGCCTTTTAAAAACAATTAAAATCTTTTTCTATGAACTGTGAAGTCTTTTGAGATAATTGCCCTGTGCAGATAATTACAGTGTTAAATTTTTTTTCATTAGTTTTTGCTAGACAGACTTTTTTTTTCTCTCCTTTGATAGTACAAGCAATTTCCAGGTATTTTAGGAGCTGTCTCAGAGGAAGGGTGGGTTGTCTGTAGGATGGGTAGCAAACTATGTAAAATCATTGTGGCTGGTTTTCTAGTTCAGTAATAGAATAAGTGGAAGCAGAAGTCATGCTTATCTGTGATGGTTTAAGGGCTGAATGAAATGGTGGTGACAGTCCATTTCTTACTGAGTACTGATTCTTGTCTCTGAAACCACCACCCCATTAGGCCACCACAATTGGTCACACCCGTGGGAAGGAAGTTCAGAACATTACAAGAATGAACTATGAATTTTGGGGCAGCCATTTGGCCAGTATGGGTCAATGTTCTCTAACAGGACGTGTATATTCCTTATCTGTTTTGCCAGTCTTTTGTATTTTCCTTTCCCTTATAACTGAAAATGGAGCAAAAATAAAGAGGTAAACAAAGTCCCACCGTTAAAATCACTCTGAGCACTGTCACCATTATATATTTGTGTTAGCAGTGCAACAGCAGTCTCCAGCACACACCAGAACTTCATTCTGTTGGGTGCCACTATTGCACTAACTGTTCATTTCAATGGTTTCATCTCATGCAGATTTGACATCTAAATTTTAATTTTAAAAAGCAGTTACATAATTAACTTATCAGCAAATTAAAATCTTAGAGTATCAATCAGAAATTATAACAAAATCCACAACCCAGAGGTCTATGGAACTGCAGCTCGTACTTCACCCATTCAGTGGATGTAAAAGTGTCTTGCTGCAAATCCAGCAGTCCTTCGTGTATCACGTCACATTCTGCAGGTCTTCCAGAGCAGGACTCTGCTGGTCTCTTGTACGAATTGCTCTGTATAACTCTGCTCAGAAGGTATGTTATCTATATAATAAGTGACAGCAGAGAAAGTATATCTTCCTTGTGAATTCTCTTGAATAAGACATTAATAGGTGGATTTTTGAAGCATAAAAATGATAGACAACACCATAAGCAGCAGCCAAATAGGTAAAATAAATTAATGTAAAATAAATAGAGTCTTTCTATGATGCTAAACTACTTAACTGCAATTTCATTTTATGCTCATAGTTCTAAACCTGTCAGTGTAAGGAGAATATAATTTTATTCTGGAGGCATTCTTATCGGTGTGTTCTTACTACAGAATGCATGTACATTTTTGAGCTCTTCTGCTAAATGTAATTTGTTTTGAAAATTAAGCCAATCAACCTTGAGGTACTGTTCATCTGGAATAAAAGTTTCTGCATGTGAACTGTTAAGTTTCATGAGGGAATAATCCTTCTGCAAAAAGCCCCTTAAAAATGGGTAAAAATGGAAGTGTGGATGCAAACTCTTCCATGCTTTTTGAGAGTTTGTGTCTCAGTCTAAATTATGCAGCTGGCTTCAGCATCTCAGCAGTGGGATGTCACAAACTCCAAGACTTGATCACCCCTGAATACACAGGGTATCTGCATTCAGGTGAAAAGCTAGTGCTAAAGCCATGACTCGAGTTTCTCAAGCTTCAGTGTAAAGTCTAATTACACAAACTACTTGGAATATTTAATTGAACCTGGAACTCAAAAGGACCTGAGACCTACAAATGAAATGCTCGTACAAAATCTTGCAACACTGAATAATTTAATTAAATAACTATCGCGTACCTAAGCTGTCTTCCTCCAATAATTCTATAATTTCAGTGTATTTTGGTGCTAAAAGATGAACTGCTAGGTATTTTTCTTCTCACAGTGTCAGAATGGCCTCCTTCATTCTTCTTAAAAGCGTGCATTTCAATAAATATATATAGAAAAAAAATGCTGAGAAAATTTCAATTAAGTGCATGTCATCAGATTTGTTTGCTTGTTTTAATCCAGTCTCAGACCAGTTACATTCAAGGTGTAGCTGAAGAAATGCATCCACTTTCATTGCAAGTCTTGAGCTGGCTTTACATCTTCAGTCCTAGTGAACTGTGACAAAATCCTAAGGCCAAACTTTATCCTGAACTCATGTTCCTTTTGTTCTATGTATGAACATACACAGAATAAAGATATACCTACTTCTTTGCTTGCACAATGCACAGCATAACAATTCCCGTTTACGACTGGGACCTGCTGGGTACTACCATAACATTAGCTGTTATTTATAGCAATCTGTCTATGACATTGTAAAAACTTACCTTCCTTTTATCATCAAGAGACACTGCTTCCAGCTCATAATCTTGTCGCCCGTGAAACACAATGCTGAAGCGCCTCCTTTCAGTATCTTCACAGGCTTTGACTTGTGAGAAAGGGAACTGTTTCTTAATAATTCCTTTTTCAATGTTAAAAATGGTCTTTGTGTTGAAATCAATCTGGAATAGAAAATCCTTCATTACATGACTCCATTGCTTCTCTTCATTGAAAGGGAAAGGCAGTATCCCCAATATCACCACGCAAGGGCATTTAGATAAAGGATCAGCTTAGAATATATCTATCTTGCTGATGAGTAGAATAAAAAAATGACATTCCATCATCAAGATACTGTACTGTATTTGTTTCAGTTACAAAACAAACAGATATTCATTGTAACTCTGTTTCCCCTATCTCTTTTGATGAATATGCATCAATTTATCACTCTGAAATATTATTTCTTTTTAAATTCTCTTTGTCCCAGTGCAAAAACTTCCCATTCAGCAGTAGTGGTAGCACAAATTAATGGTATGACCATCTCAGCAGAGATTCAATTACTAACTGGTTCACCTATGCCCCAGTACTAAAATAAAGTGAAGGTGGTTATTTTTATAACAGTCGCTTCTGTGTCAGAAAAAGAAGATACTATCGAGAGATTACTTTCTGATACAAATATTACTGTGTTTTGTTTTAGATCTTATCTAACACAGTTTTTTTGTCTGTATGTATATATAGACATATATTTGTACATACAGATGAAGGAAGTGATGATAATAGTCAATGAAGTTATTTTATTGCTGTTTCACAACTGTAACAATTAAAATTTTTTTGCTTCAAAATAAGATTATTCTTCTTCTACTGCACAATCTTTATTTGCAGTGTTAAAAACTGGTACAGACAGATTCCAGTATCTGTTCTATGGGTCAGTCCCTGTTGAGCAGAAACAGCTTTGTTGACACAATGAAATGTGAATATTATCTGACTGTGCAGCTTCAGTGAACAAGGCCCACAGAGCAGACAAACTCAGAAGTGTCTCAGATCTTCCATGAGTTAGATATTTACCTTTGGTCATAAATGATTCTTGGCACCTTTCATTCCTATAGTGCAGACCACACCAACCAAATGCTAACACCGTAGCCTTTCCCTCCATTCTGTTTATAGCAGGAAATCTCCAAAGCAGAACCATTCTCATTATTATCTCTGACTTTTGAAGGCTCATGGTAATTAGAGGACTGGAATTAAACTACTCCAGATTCCCAGACTGATCACTTCCACATCTAATGTGGCTTTCTGTCAAAACAAATAAGCTTTTAATTCCAAAAAATGGTGGATATTGAGGGAAATAAGGAGATTATACTTTCTACAGTTAAGATGTAGTAAACAAAAAGCCACCCTCTAGCATGTATGACTTGGACTTGCTCATTATCAAATTTTGTCCAAACTGCAGGAAAAATTCAGTGAAATCTAGGTTCCTGGAAACAACATGAGAGCTTTGTCACTGACTTCATGGAATCCAGAAATCACCGTAAGGTGTTACTGACCAAAGTTTGCTTTAATATCATGCAAGACAATAAAGCCGTAAGGGTTCATAATGTCAAAAAAAGAATTCACCGGACGGAGTAACCAGAGATGAAATGCATAGCCTGTCAAATGAACCTTCTGAGTATCCCTAGAAATATTTCTTCCCAAGTTTTTAGGGAGCGCAGTTGAAGTGATGTCCTGTCAAAAGGGACAGATACTTAAGTATGTCTACATTACTTCTATGCATTTACTGTTGCTAACTAATAAGAACAACTCCCAGGCAAAACCTATGATAATAGATCATCTTTTTGACGAATCATGGTTTTTAGAGATGAAGTAACCTCTTAGGTCATCAAGTCCATGCTACAGCCCCCTCCCAGGGACTCAGTAGAGGGAGTTTCAGATACTACCACCAAAACACTTGTGGTATAAAAGGCAGAAAGTTTGTTCGCTGTCTTATACCTCTCTGATAGCTTAAAACATCTAGTGGTTCAGTGACCTATCTCATAACATTTACCGAGCAACCTAGAGTGTCCTATATTTTTTATATATTGTTTCACAAGTGAGAATTTTTACACTTACCTGCAAAATTCGTTTCTGCCACCGATAGTGTTTGTATTTGTAGATAATGAAGTTAAATTGTGAGCCAGTTAGCAAATCCCGTGAATCCTGATAAACAGAACAGAAATCAGCAACTTGTCCAACACTGTATCCAACACAATTTTTGTTCACTCAAATCCTGTTGTGTCCTCAGGTGAAATCACCCTCAGTGAACAGTGTTCAAACAACACTGGGGACTTTGCAGAAGAACTCCATATGTTGATACATGGATGCATCCTCCTGACCTGATTTTCACAAGCACAAAATATCCACAACTTCTGCTGAACTAATGAAGGGATCACAGATTGGGATGGATGTTGAAAGGGAGAGCAGAAAGCAGGAAGACAAGGAGGAAATAAGCAGACCCCATGGAATTGTACTAAATACGTTTCAAAACACAGGAGTCTATTAAATGGGCTAAGTAGCAAACAAGAACCATATGTGACTTTAAAGAAAAATATTTACAGGCCCTTGAATGCAATGTAGTAAAATGGAAGATCTTTGTTCCTTGGTGATATATGAGGGCATAGAATTTGTTGTCTGGTCCCTTACAGCAGCTATGCTGTGTGCATGGAAAATGACTAATTTTATAATCTTCAAGAAAAAGCAGGGAAGGGAAGGTCACGATCCAACTATATTAAATTTTATTTAGCTCTAATAATTAGCTGTCACAAAAACTTTAATGCGGCAGAAGTAGAGAAGGACCTGTTTCTCTTCTTATTCTAGAAATATATTTCCAAGTAGTCTTACACTGCTGAGTTTAATATTTTTGTTGACAGTAGCACTTCTGCAAAACTTGCACTGCTTTTTTATTAGTATTTATTTCTGCTTCTCTTTCTACTTCTTTCCAGCCAAGAAGTTAATAAGCAGTTCAGAAAGTTCTTTTTAAAAACTCCAAAAAGCACTGGGTTTACCTCAAAATCACTATCAGCTCCTGTGGTGCAAAAAAATTTCAGATTATGTCATTAGCACATCATAAGATTTCATTGTTTCTGGAGGCGCTCCCATGGGGAGACGGGTTCCAAAATCTAGACCAGAAGGGGAAACAGATAGTGAAAATTTCTCCAAAGAATTCTCTGCTGGCACTTCTGTGGTGATGATGGACAAAGATTGCAATGAGAGAGATATTGGACAGGGATTATGGAAAGGAGTACACGGCTGATGTACTAATGTACATTATTAACGTACTCCTCATCCTCAAACCATTTCCACTCACCACTATCGACTTCTGTTTTTCTAAGGAAAGAACTTCCATGCTTTCTATAAAATGGAAACATGCTAATGATCCACTTCTGATTGTCAGTGAAGAGGTGAAGGCTTTAACAGCAGAAAAATGAAATTCTTGTGTCTCAGCCTGATCCAGAAGAAAACTCTGGACTAGACCTCTTGGTCTCATTGACCTATGCTCAGCAAAGCCATGTTGTTGTAGGACCCAAAAACAGTTTTTAAGCCACCTTTACACTGGTTTGACTTTTGGCTGATAGAAGATCAGGGCCAACTGTAGGCAATGTTAGAAATAAAGTCACACTCGCCAAGGCTTTGCACTTTGTAGCCAGCCATTCTTAAGGCCATGTATAATCCTGAGTTGTCACACCCTCTTGTGGTGACCAGTCATACCCGAAGGACAACACAGCACTAGCACCTCTCAGAGATTAGATCCATTATTTTCCCGACGTGCTTCATGCTATCAGCCCAAGCATTTTGCCCTACATTTATTATTACCGTACTTCATGCTGCACTCAGAATAACAAAACTCGTATGGATACATCTGATCTAATTAATTAAACTAATTAATCCAGGTAATGACTTTGGTGTAGTGGCAGCATCTACATGGGATATCCATTACATAGGATATAGGTAGCATTAGCCATTAGTACTGAACATACTTGGTTATAAACTGGAGTGTATATGTTTGCAGAAGTTGGGACTGTATCTTTGAAAGCAATACAGACATGCTCCTAACACTCAACCAGGCTTTCCAGAAAGTGCTCATATATTTGAATGTCCTGCAAGATAGATCAAAGGGGTGACCTTACCTTTTCAGCATACACCTCTTTCTGTGCCAAATGCAAAGCTCCTTCAATGCTCACTTCTTTATTTTTCACCATGTTCATAATTTTGAGGATTTTTTCCTGGCTTAACTGGAAAAAAAAGTCAATCAAATGTTTTTAGAGACTGTTTTTTTCATCTGGCTATTGAGGATACAGAGTTCTTGTGACAGTTACAGCTATGGTATCTGCCACAAAATTACAATTTCATTCATATTTTATGTTCTATCGACAACCTGCCCAGCAAATATAATCTCCCTTTGAAACCTGGTGAGAGTCTACAAGATATCAAATATACAGGAGCCTTCACAATTTTAGAAGATGGGGTGGTAATATCTGGGGATAGAACTGCCAGGAGGAAATCTCCTTTAGTTAGAAAACCTGGCAAGAAGTGAAAACATCAATTTTGCATGCTTGTCTCTGTCTTACCCTAAGTGTAATGTACTGCATACAGACAACACGAAAGCAAAATCAGGACCATTTGAAATTTTCAGTGTAAATGGGAGAAAAACATTATGCTGGTACCAGCAGGTACAGCTGTCATGTGAACTTATCTAACCACACTAACAATCCGCACTACAGTTCCTCTTTCTTTTACCAAAAAAAGGAGGTTGCACTGTCAGTAAGATTACACACAAATTTATGTCACTTATAAGTGAACCAAGTGGGGATTGCAATGCCAAACAGGAATCAAGCAAAGAAAAAAGGCAAGTGAAGTAACCAGGGACCCAGAACTACAGCCGCTTACACTGTTGGTAAAGCTCTTTGACAGACTTTGTAGAAGGAACAAACAACCTCCCTCTGAGACAGCCCAAAGAGTTCCTTTGTGTGATATCCATTCCTAAACAGCAGCAGAACTAGGAATTTGGGAGGAGTGTGTAGGTTTTACCACCAGAGCTCAGGAATTTGTGGTTTTTTAATCCAGTAGCTCAATTACAATATTCAATTCGCTACAACATACATTGTTTCCTACCTCACCACCAGGAGGTAAGTTACAACAGTAAAATCTTTCTTTCAAATCATCCCTTTCAAACTCTTCCACGTGGACATGCAGGTGAAGAGCCCTCCGTGGGAGCGTTGCCCCGGCAGTGCAGCAGCAAGGGGAAGGGGCAGGAGAGATGCCTCCGAGCACAGGAAGGGGCCCTCCCCTGTGTCCCTACTGCTGGAGCTGCCAGGAGACTAAAGCGTTCAAAGCACGACAGCTCAAAGCATCTCAGCATTGCAAGCAAATCTGGATTCGCCTACCCCAAGGACAAGGTACCAAGACCTGGAGTGGGTTTTGCTGTTCCTGCCATAGGAGAAAGAAGGTGAAGAGCTAAAGACAGGTATCTCTAGAGAGCCAGGCCTGCTGCTCGGGAGGGCAAGGGTGGGTAGGAATCGGGGCTCCTGAGAGCTGCCAGTTTCGCTGCCTGAGAGTTGTGATTGCTACCCCCAGCAGCAGCCACCAAGCTGTTTCCCAGCCCTCTGAGACAGGCAGAGCAGCAGAGCAGATAGCAGGGCTGCAGCTGCTTTGCCACCCCCAGCATCCTCATGTCCTAACCAGCCACTCACTTTACCTACGCCTACAGCTCCCCACAGATCAGTAGCTCCTTTGCTAAAAGCCCCAGCAACACAGCCTTGCAGCAGAACAAGGTCCTCTCCACCCGTCCAAGCCCCACCGTCACCTGGCACAAGTCTGATAGGCAACATAAAAATAACCAGTCACACCATAGAGGTCAGGTTCTCTCTCTCTGAGCCACACTACAGCGAACGCACTGCAGCTTACCAAATTTCTAATGTCTCAACAAGTTTCTGATCAACAGACACATTGTATCTTTTTACAGCCTACAAATAAAACTGGGAGTAAAAGAAGAAATATTATGTTTTTAAAGCCTTGGAATTTTCAATGCTAATATAAAGGTAACTTATGGCGTAGCTCCCAGCTGCAAATAGTAATGTGAACAGTGAGGAAAGAATGAAAGCAGTCTGATAACTCATTCACACTTGCTGAGGCACAGAAGGTTCCTACAATGACCTCCATACTCTGTATTTGAATTTTAAATGGCCATATATTTACACCACACATACACTGTATACGATTAGATCTTAACAAGATAATTCCCCACTGAACAGGCTCGGTGTAAGCAAACAAGACTATGGATATATTTGAACTGAAAAATATAGTTTCCTTAAGGCTAAGCTCTTCCAGCTTTAAAGTGCAAAATCATATTTATACAGGATAGCAATTACTGATAGGAAGTTGGATAGCATTTTTGCAACAGTTAGGCCCTTTTGTATGGAGAAGGATTCAATGATTTTGCAGCAGGATGACAATGACAACATAAAGATAACATCATAGCCTTAAGTCAAAGGCACGGTCTGATTAACATAAACAAGAGAAGTATTTATTCCCTTCACTACAGAAGTAATTCAATGAACAAGCTCAGTTCTCATTTGAATCTCGCAGTGTTGTCCAGCTACACAGTATATCGTGCACATCTGCAGGGATGCTTCCTAAAAATCGCCAAGAAAAGAAGAGTTTCAACTTAAAAAATGTGAGGTTTTGAAGTTTTTTTTTCCAGGGTATAGGTGATTTGGGCCATCATCCCTGATCTCAGGCAAGCAGGCTCCATGCTCTGCAGTGCCCCACGCACTGGGTATTTTAAGGTCTGTCTGTCTGGCCAAATATTCTACCTAGGACCAGGAAACCTTGCCACAACACCTCTACCAAATCCAAGACATTTTCTTGTAATGCACTGTGTTTCTCTTTTGCATCGCTGAAAATTTTAAAAAGGTGATGGGGTTTTTTTGGGGGGGGTTGCTTTGGATTTGTTTTGTTATTTATTTTTTACAAAAAAAATTCCAGAAGGGAGTGCATTTTTGGCTCGCTGAAGTGTTCAACTCTTCATTTGGCTTACCTTCACCAAAGTGTCCTTTAGACTAGAATGAAATTCTGCCCAAGACATGAAAACAACAGGGAACATCTCTTAATTTACTTAATAATGTATGAAGAAAAATGTTTGCAAAAGAAGCAAATAATTTTGTATATTGCAAATTCAGGAAGGTTAGTAAGTAAGTTAGATACTGACAGTTAATGCATTCCCCAGGGAGCACACAAAAGGCAGTGCTTCGTACAGGTTATTTTTAACAGCACCCTGTTGCTTCAATGTCTCTCTTAATTCTCTTTCTCTCTGCACATCTGTAAGCAGGAGGGAAACATTTCAAAAGACAAGAGAGGCAAAAAAAGGCACTTTTCAGCTTATGAGAACTGTCAAAATTATTTGTCAGAAGTCTGTCTGGCTTGCTTAGGTTTTTGACAGCCACACGTTAGCATGGTATTTTTACTTGCAAACAGGACTTGAGTAACAGATCCTGACCTTTATCATTTTGTATCTGTGGGGCTTTTCTCTCAGCATGTCACAATTTTTGTAATGCTTATTCTTGTGTTTGTTTCGGCTATATTTTTCCCTTAAAAAGAAACAATTTTTGTCATATTATCCACTGAAATGCCACTAAGTCAGATCATGATATATTGCCTTATAGAATGTGACTGGTGCAACCAAACAGAATATTTTTATAGAAGGCTGGATAACAAAAGTTAGAAAAAAATTCTTTTATTATAAAGCAGGCACATTAAGGAAATACATGAGATTTCATTAATAACGCCTTAGTTTACCTGGCAGGTTAAAGAAGCTTGTTTAATACAGATTAAATTTTCATCACCCACCCAAGATTCAGTATAGCACACAAGTGATTTGAAAGAAAAATCAACGCTCACAATTGGAGGAAGAGCTATATATTCGGCCTAGACATGCTACAAAATGTGTTTAGTGATGAGACAGGAGATTTCTGGCTTATTCTTGGGCAGCTGCCAACACAGTACTCTACGTGACCCCTTCCAGGGCTTCCTGCCACTCTCTGTTTACGCAGCACAGTCTCACAGGAGGCCCTAAGAGGTATCAAAGGTTTTGCATGTAGCTCACATACTGTGGAAATATTACTCTAATGACTCCAGAAAGGTCCCCAGACCTTCTGAGCATCGACCAAGAAAGAGGGGTTAAAGCCATGTCACCAGAGTCATTTACAGTTGATGGAGCAAAGCAGGGGAAGGCATGCAGAAGATGGGTAAACGTTCACGGATAAGACAGGCTAAGGTCTCTTCTTTCAGACTCTCATGCTCTGATACACACTGGTTCACATTCCCCTCTTGACCACAGGACTGCTGTGATTCTTACGCAGTCAATGGAGATACCTGGGCTTTTCTAGGTGGCAATTCACCACATGTAAGACCTGTCTCATTATCTGACAACCTTTTCTCTCCATTATCTACAGAGGAATTTGAGCTACATGGCTTTTGCTTAGCTTATTCATATTCTGTGGACCTTCGTACCTGAATCATAATAATATGACAGCAATCTAATGCAAAAAGACTCCTGGAATGTGTGCACATACACCCATGGAGACATAGAACAAGAAATCTGGCTGTCAGTCAGCTATACGTATGATCTCAATTATTGCAAATACTGGCACAATTCAGCGAGACATTATTTCAGGTTTACTTAGATGAAGATCATAGCTAATATGCACCGAGCTCTATCATTTCCTGTGACAACAAAACCAAGTCATGCAGAAATCCTGCTCCCCGTACAAATGAGGAGAAATTTTTATTCAAGTCTAGTCAAGCGTTTCACTGTTAAGCATTCCTTACACTTGTCCTTATTAAACATTAACAGCGTTAAACATTCTCATCTGCTTGCTGCCAGGAGTACGAGACAAACCAGGTGCCACCGGACCCAGAAGGGAAGGCTGGACCGAGAGGGCCTCTTCCTCACCCTCTGCACTCCACAGTAGCATCGCCCTTATAGCACTGATAGGATCAATGCTCTGAAGGACAAGGGCACTCAATCCAAGAGGGAAGAGCCAAGTAGTGGCTACATATTGCTTCACAGACATCTCATGAATTTCTGGGCGTAAATCTGACTCAATACTATTGTTGTCCACACAAAAAGAAATATGCTGTTTTAACATACAGGCCTGACATTTTTTAACCAGCATAGGGTCATATTTTCATTCATTTTTGAGTCCATTTTTTAAAATACAGCTTTTAGTAATAGAAGATTTTTTTTCTATCCAGAACAGCAGGATAAAGCAACTTTGAGGTAAAGCCTTCTGGGGATTTTCTGTTGACTCAGTGCCTTCCAGCTATGGTGCACAACACTTTCTGCAAAGCAAGTACAGTGTAGAAGCATAACAATAAGTGCCAGGATAGAATGCAGTGATTGACCTGTGATGAAATTTCAAGTAGCAACTTCCTTTTCCAAGCTGTGCTTTTATAGAAAACACTTTTTCTTTTCTTTTTTTAAATCAAAGGCACTGGCTGAGTTTACTGTGGATATTTGTCTTCCTCACAATATTATGCTGAACTGCACTCTGCCTGCATGTTGAACGTATCATTGAAGTGATTTTAAAGACAGTGGACCCAGTCTGGGTCGCCTTAAAAGTTCCAGTTTGGCGTTATCAACGTTCATCTCCTAAGGTATTCACTTTTACCAGGTTTGAACTTGGCCTAAAGTGCTCCCATACATCTACAGGGAGTGGCTGTCTTCTATGATTGGGGTATCTGAAATACCTTCATTTGTAATTTACATGAAATATCAATACAGATGACTGATGTGATATTGTTATGTGGCAATACCATCTTTTGTAGCCAGTCATAGAGATAGACCAATATTATTTGTCAAACCGAGCTGCTATTCATCAAATAAATTATCCATCTGTAATAATGTTTTGCATTGTTTGTTCAGATCTGTATCTGTCAACGTTTATTCTAAGAAGAAGGTATTCATCAAACAGTAGCTTGGTTTCTTTGAAAACACTGGAAATTCTGACACTTTCAGAAGGAGCTGGAGAAGCCCAAAGATATTTTATTATAATATTTTTTTAATTGGTATAAAATTATATAGTGATTAAGTGCAGCAATGAAAAAATCTCAAAGAGCTAGTCTCAAAAATATTTAGGAACCTAAAATATAAGCTGGTGCCTCATGACATGTATATAGTATAGTGTATGATACGAACTAGTCTACCTACTTCCAGTTTTGAAAATATCACCATATTGAGGAATCTCACTGCATAAACATTGCTTGAAGTTCCCTCTGAAAAACTGACGATTTATAGGTCTCACGTGAAGCAATTACTTTAGAGTTTCCCTCGATCACCTCTTAACAGACCAGCATGTTCTCAGCAAGACCCTGCTGCTCTAACAGCACTTGGAACTTGTCAGGAAACGACACTCACAAAGTAATTACCGGAGTTTCAGTGTGAAAACTCAGAGGACAAATTGAGTAGCGTTGCACTGGGGACTGGCTTCGTTTTGCACTATTCAGTGTTTTCATCAATGATCTGGTGATGGACTAGAGATTTTGTGTATTAAATTTGCAGACTTTGACACAAAGATGGAAAAAAACTGCAAGCAGGTCAAAAGGGGGATTCAAGTTCAAAACAAGATTGACAAATGAGAGAGGCAATAATATACAATTCA